TCTATCTATCTATCTATCTATCTATCTATCTATCTATCTATCTATCTTTCATCTATCTTTGAAAAACAGTTCTTACAAAACAAATAACCGAAAACATTCAGTGAGTGCAATTTTTCCCCTGGCAGTTTATTATGGTATGAAGGAAAAAACAGTTTGGTGTGTCTGACATGAATGTTAATTTTACAAATGAAGGAGGAGGTTGTGGCTATTAAAATATGGTTACACAAAGTAGGAACATTTTTTTTTTAAAGAAGTGTACAGTACAATGGATTTCTTTGATAAACAGACTCTTTAAATATACATGACAGAAAAAACATCCAAAGTTATGTTGTGTTTTTAATCAACATCTTTATCCCAGGGAATTGGGGCGGGAGAGAGGGAAATCCGTATATTTAAAACAGAATACAAAATAATAAGAATAATTTGGAGCCAAGAATGAAGCATTTGTCTGCTACAAATATACACGACTGAGGTGAGCAAATCAGAAAGACAACTGTTTTTAAGAGCTGGGCACCCTGGCATGGATCATTTTGCAAAATTGGCCTCTAATATGTTATCAAGATCAAACATTTGATTTCTCCAGGGGCAGCTTTGCATAGCCACATCACCATGTCTTGGTTGTCAGGAATCATTGACTTATGACCATCCACTTAATAACCATTCAAAGTTACGACTGATCAAAAAATAGGGCGTAGACCCTGGATTCAAAGGCCTGATGATCATGGCTCCTGTATGATTTGGTGCTCAGCAACATGGCCACAATTATGGCTTACAGTTGCACTTGATGATGGTTTCCCTGAAAACTGGCACTTGCTTCTGGTTTTCAGCCAAACCACCCCAATCAAGAAATGTTGGTTTGCTTAAGGGCCGTTCCATTAATGGCCGTGGCGGCAACTTTACGATGTTTTTCTTAATGACTGCCACAAAATAAAAGCTTGCGAAGATGGGTTTTAGGAGCGTCATACAAGGATCACGGACAGATTACGGTCGTGTGTTGAGGACGGCCTGCACTCTCATTGGAGGTGGGTCTGGCCAAGGAAGGTTTGGGAACGTAGTAGCTACTCTCAGCTGTGCACACCTTTCCTTGATATTATCCGTGGGGTTCGTTCACCCTTACGGCCACATAGCTTGGAAGGGCTGTGCAGAAAACCTGGAAGTTCATAGGGACACCTAATATTTCAATAGCTTCTTTTTTTAAAAATAAAAAAATTAAAAATCAAAGTAATTAAAGGAGAAACTACAAAGCACGGGAGTCTTTAGTTAGAGGTAGCACAACCCAGGAATCGTTAGAAAATTAAAACAGAAAAGAAGAAAACAACTAAACTTTTGCCTATGTTCAGGAGGTGTACAAATAACATAAAAAGAAACAAGAGAGAGCTAGAAGAAAGCAAGGAACAGGACAACCTCAGAAGATTGTTTTTTGGGGGAAAATTGATTCTCCCCCCCCCCCCAATTTCCAGGAATAGTTTGGAGCAATTAGGTTTTTAAGGAGAATGTTCACACTGGTTTATTTTATTTATTTTTTTTACACATACATCGGATTCAATGGATTGGCTTTCCAACGGAAACCCCAAATTCCCCACCCCAAATTTTGCCTCTCCCCCTTTAAGATCGTGCCGTGAGAAGATACTCACTGCGTGAAGAAACCCCCAGATGGGAAAACTAAACCCCCAAACCCCAAAATTTTTCCATTTCATGTAGGAGCTTGTCTCACAGAGCTGTTTTTGTGAAGCTGTGTTGGTGGCTGATCCAAAATGGGGATTTCTCCAATTTGCACTAGAAGGAGGAAGGAAGGAAGGAAGGAATCGCTGCAAATTTTTCTTTCGGTTTATTCTGTTTTCCAGGGCACCCCCTCTCATTTATATGTTATGTCAAAAACATAAAATATTTGATGCTGTAATACACAGTATTACTGGAACTAACAATAATATTTGCATATTTAGAACAAAGTGTAATTCCTATAATATAAGAAAGGAAAAAAAAGTAGTCCATAAGGTATTTACAGTGTCCAGCAAAGAAGTATAAATACTTCCATATTTTAATGTTTAGGAAAACATAATTTACAAAATATTCAAATATGTACACAGCTGCTTGGAAAAAAACACACACCCTCAAGTGCAGTTAAGCAAAGTTGGACATCCTTTTTTTCCTTTCGATTTGGGGGGAAAAAAAAGATGATTTAAAATAACGTTTTTGTCACTGCTTGGGTTCCATTCCTGCAAAATTATTTACACTTCCTTCCCTTCCTCTCGAGAGTCACACATGTCCGGCATTCTGAACGTGTTGTCCCAAAATGTCATCTATCAATGTCAAGTTATTTAGCCAGTCTTCATCTGTGCCACCGCTGTTCTTCATCAACGAATCGATCAAGTCAGCTTCGCTGCACGTCCCGGGCAACATAGCGTTGTTCTGTTGTGGTACGAAGTCGTATTGCGGCGACAACTCCAAAGCGGCACTCATCCTGTTGAATGTTGTGACGGAGGACTGCCCAGCCGAACCTGGATAACTCGGCGGCCCAATGGGTGGGCCGGCATTGAGCTGGTTGAACCCCGAGACCGCTTGGGGCATGGGTTTCATAACATTCATGGCAGTTGGCAAAGGTCCTCTGGCCAAGCCATGTCTCAGGTTCTGATTATTTGGAGGGATCAAGGTTTGGTTAGAAGGTCCAAGGTTCATTTTTTGCATCTGCCTGGCCTGCATCCCGGGAACGATCTGGTTGGGTGGCGGCCCGGCTTGGTGAGAAAACGGTTGGCTGGGGAGGCTTGACCTGACACTCTGTTTGGAGAAGACAGGGTTGTTTGGGAACTGGTGCATGGTGGCCTCCATCGGATTTTGGCTAGGCATCCTGGGGACGACGGTGGGCGTCCACATTGGCGGCGAAGAATTGGCGTAGATAGCAGGCATCCTGGCCATGGCGGGTTGCCTCAAGTGCTGCTGGGCGGAAGAATGAGTGACCAAAGCCCCGGCGGGGAAGTTGGGCGTGGCCATCCCCGGCCGGGCTGCGGGATGGCTGTGGACGGTCTGGCATCCCGAAGTCATGGCCAATGAGTTTTGGCTTCCTCGGAGCGGGAGGTTGAAATCGGTGTTGGGGGGGAAGATGGCGGCTTGCTTGTTGGGGTTATGGGGGATCATCACCAAGGCTCCGCTGTTCTGGTTCACGGTGGCAGCCGGGGGCCCAAGGCCGGGGCCCAAGGGGCTCTGGAGCATCCCTTGGGTAGGGGGCATCATGCGGTGGGTGGAGCCAGGGGATTGCATGGTCTGGCTGCAGTCAGTTGGCAGGGACTGCGAAACTGCTGGGGAGAAATGAGCAAAAGCTTGAATTAGTAAGGGGGCAGAAGCTCGGCAGTCATGCCTTCAAAACCATCACCACCATCATCATCATCATCATCATCATCATCATCATCATCTTTTATCCATTAAACATGAAACTCATTCAACTGAACATTTAAACATGTATCACAAATATCATTGACTGATATGCGTTGGCCAATAAAGAATTCTCTTCTCTTCCTCTCCACTCTTTACTTTCTGTTCTGTTCTGTTGTATTCCCTTCTACTCCATTCTATATTTTCTCTTCTCTTCTCTTCTCTTCTCTTCTCTTCTCTTCTCTTCTCTTCTCTTCTCTTCTCTTCTCTTCTCTTCTCTTCTCTTCTCTTCCCTTCCCTTCCCTTCTCTTCTCATTTCTCTTCTATATTTCTGTTTTATTGTATTGTATTGTATTTCTATCTATATCTATATCTATATCTATATCTATATCTAATCTAATCTATATCTAATCTATATCTAATCTAATCTATATCTATATCTAATCTATATCTAAATCTATATCTATATCTAATCTATATCTAATCTAAATCTAATCTACATCTAATCTAATCTATATCTAATCTCTCTCTCTCTCTTTCTCTATTCCATTCTATTCATTCCCAATTCTAATTCTAACCTATTCTATATCTATATTTCTACTCTACTCTGCTCACACAGCATATTAAACTTACCCAACAATTTCCTTAAAAAAAAAGAAAAGAAAGAAAGAAAAGGACACGTTGTGGCTGAATATTCCTTCTTACCGGGAAACTGGTTCATCTGTTGTCCCACAAAGGGGCTCCTCTGCTCAGCGGCCACACCCATCATGCTATGCCTCTGCTTTTCCTAGGAAAAACAACGACAAGGACAAAAAAGTTGAGTCCATACCCTGCGTGCGTTTTCTTTGCAATGCAAATCCAGGTAAAAAGCACCGATTCCCGTTGCCAGCTACAGGTTCGCAAACTTTCCCTGGATTGTTTTTTTTTTTAAAAAAAAAGTCTGGACCTTTTGTCTCCTTCGACACAGGTGTTTCTCAACCTCCCCCGCTTTATGATAGGGGGACTTCAACTCCCAGAATTCCCCAGCCAGCAGGCTAAAAGACCAACCTGGAGCTGTTGTTGCTGCTGCTGCTGCTGCTGTTGCTGCTGCTGTTGTTGTTGTTGTTGTTGCTGCTGCTGTTGTCGCCGTCTCATAATTTGCTGCTTTAGGAGTTGGTTCCTCATGGTGTAGTCGTTCACCAAGGGTGGAGCCTGGGCAGGCACTGACCCTGAGTTGGCGGACACGCCTGGCTCCTGCATCCGAGCACCAATGCCGGGCGCCTGGTCCTGGAAGAGAAGAAAGACAAAGATGGCCATTAGGCGCAAAGAGTCTGGGTGATCTAGTAGACTGGAAGAATCGGGGCCTGTTCTGACCAAGGCTTCCCGTAATTAAGCGCATGCTTAGTCCAAACAACTCTTGTTTTATTTCAATGCTGGGAATTATGTGCATTCCCAGCCGGTAATGATTCCCAAACAGTTCCTCGAGATAAGCACCCACCTTTCTCTCCTTTGAATGGCTGCCAACAACTAGAGTGCCAAATAAACTATAAAAAAACAAATGAAGTGCAAAGTCCACACAGAGCTTCAAGGTTTAATCTGAACAGAGCAAACGACTTTGCTTCCTGCAAAGGGTTCTCTACCTTTGACTGTCCTTTATACCTTATGGCAGGGGCAGTCACCTCCAAGCCTTACTCCCAAGTCACCTCTTTTGTCTCAGCTGCTCTTGCCTTCTAGCAGCTCTGCGCACAGGGACCAGGCTCCCCTTGTTCTTCCGCCTCGCTGCTGCCAGACTCCAGAAGCTCCGGAGTCAGCACCCCACTCCCAGATGGTCCTGGCCCTATCTCTGCATCAGATGCAGGACTCTCGTCCAAGTCCTCGCCAGACTCCCAGACTGGTCCCTGTTATTCCCCACGGTCCCATTCCGCTGCCATCTGCACAGGCTTAGATTGCAGGATAGATTGCAGGATAGAAAACTTATTTGACACAAGACTTTAGGTCAATGGAAATGCAACCCTTGAGCCTGATAAGGGTCAGTGGAATTCAGGAAGGGCTGGACTGAAGACTATTTGTGAAAATGGCATCCTTGTCAGAAGGTGCTTCTGGGTTGATTAGCAATCACACTTAGACTTATATGCCGCTTCACAGTGCTTTACGGCCCTCCCTAAGCTGTTTACAGAGTCAGCCTCCTGCCCCTCCAACAATCTGGGTTCTCATTTTACAGACTTTAGTAGGATGGAAGGCTGAGTCAATCTTGAGCCAGTCAGGATCAATCTCTTGACAGTGAGCAAAGTCAGTCTGTAATACTGCCTTGTAACTACTGTACCACTATGATTTCCTTCCTTCCTTCCTCCCTCCCTCCCTCCCTCTGCAAGTACTAGCACTTAAAACTTATATACTGCTTCATGGTATTTTTACAGCCCTCTCTAAGCAGTTTACAGAGTCAGCCTATTGCCCCCAAATATCTGGGTCCTCGTTTTATTCACCTCAGAAGGATGGAAGGCTGAGTCAACCTTGGGCCTGTGGGATGCCCAGCTGGGGCTCCTTTCATGTCCCCAGCAGGAGCGGGAGTGAAGGACAGGAGCTCAACCCTGCCCCATGGCAGCTCTCGGGTCTCAAACGCAGGCTTGCTAACCTTCAACACTAACCGTGTAGGGCACTGTGCTCCTTGTTTATGGGAATGTAAGGGACTCTAGACTGGGTCACACTTAACTCCACCCCCAGTTCTGCTTGCTCTTCTCCTACAATGCCCTGCTGAATCGAAAGAGGAAGGTGATGATCAAGGCTTCTAGAGACCCCGGTACACTGCCCTGAAAATACAACCTACCCTGAAAGTAAGTCCTAGCTTGATTTTTACATGTGTGCCCAATATAAGTCCTACCCCCAAAATAAACTCTAGAGTGGACTGGTAAAAATTAGGCTAGGGTGTGGATGAGTGGGTGGAGCTGCCCTACTACTCACCTTTGGACAATTGTAGCCAGGCCTCACACACCCTGACCCCATTTCTTTCTGGTCCATTTCTTCTGCAGCCATCAAGGCTTTCCTGAAGGCCTCTGTAGCTGATAACAAAGCTCTGGATCGATCCAGAGCTCTGTTATCGGCTGCAGAGGCCTTCAGGAAAGTCCCGCTGGCTGCAGAAGAAGTAGTTCCTGAAGGCCTCTGACTATGAAAAGGAGGCCAGGCAGCGACACACCCAAGTGAGGTTAGTCAGTGGATGACATCCCCTGAAAGTAAGACCTGGTGCCTTTTTTGGTGGCAAAATATATATATATATAAGACAGGGTCCTATTTTGGGGGAAACACAGTATCTCAGAACAGACCCAGTAGCTCTACAATAGTTCTCGACTTACAGCCACAGTTGGATATTTCTGCTGCTAATTAAATTATATTGAATAGAGATATGCTCATATTTTGTGAACGTAGCCATTTTTCTCTGTTGTGTTAACAATTGAAATTTGATGGCCACGTTAGCCTCTTTGAGTCAAGGCATTTGTTGAGGACCCTACTTGTGCCACTCTTGAAGGAATCTACCCTTGAGTTCCGTGAACATTCTCTTTTCCCAGAAAAGAACCTTCTGTTTTTCTAATTGATATTCAGGCTTCCTCAGAAGACGTTTCAGAGTTTATTTTTAGAAGAGACAAGGATGTGTAACTGCAAAGGTTGGGTTTTAATATGACTAATCCTTCCTTCATTCTGCAGCCTCTTTGGCTGCCTTGATGGTCCTTGGAAACCTGCTCTCATCGTAGGAAGTTCAGAAAGGCAGAGAACTTGAGAAAGGATAGCAGAATAAAGAAGGTGATATTTGTCCACAACCTTTGGCCATCCCGTCTTTCAAAAGACAGGTTAGCAGATACCACTCAGGTCAGGAGAACTTGACTTCTTGTGGAAGAAAGCAAACCAAAAGGATCTTTTCCCTCAATCGGAGGAAGAAGATGGCTGAACGCCAATGTACTTTCAGTTCCTAAATCTCAACAACAATAACCAAAAACAGGTCCTCTCTGAACATTAATGAGGATGCAAGAGCTAAGACAGAAAGCAACAGAGTAGGCGCTACCAGCAAGTTCCTTCTATTCACGCAGCAGTTCAAAATCATGTAAATGCAAGTAGATAAATAGGTACCCACTTTGGTCAGAAGGTAACTGGGTTCCATGCACCTTTGGCATATACCCATGCTGGCCACGTGACCACAGAAGCGTCTTCAGACAACGTTGGCTCCCTCACCTAAGTGACGGAGAGGAGCCTTCAGCATCTCCTCACAATGCCTTCCTCCAACAGGGACAAGTTACAATCTCTTTAATCCCATGATCCTCCATGGAGAAAAGAGGAAGAAATATTAACTAGAGCTGCTCTACTTATTACACTTCTCTCCTCAATTTCTCTGGCGGAGACTTTTAAATCAACAGATTTAATGGATTAACAGAGTGGGAAGGGTCTTTGTAGGTCATCTAGTCCAACCCCCCACCCAAGCAGGAGACCCTGCACCATTTCTGACCGATGGCAGTCCAATCTCTCTTTGAAAGCTTCCAGTGATGAAGCTCCCACCACCTCTGAAGGCAACTTCTCTTCCATAATTAAGAATTAAGAATGAAGACACCAGGCTGACCTGCCTCCAGACCATCTGCCATTGACCCCTAACTGGCAAAAGTTCCTGTCCAACAAGATAATTGTATTTACTGTCTCATTTTACAAGGCTACCTAGAACCTGAGGAGACAAGTCTTCACGATTCCTCCAGCTTAAGCAAGATGGCTGATGCTCCTGCTCTTAGAGTAGAAATGAGATCTATGTAACGTATGAATGCACAACTAAGATATAAAACAGCCCAGCACGGGAGCCAACTGCCCCATCCACCCCTTTGTAGCAATCTACATTATGGGTGACCTGTTGTTATTACTGGCGTACATGCTGCATAGCCAGACTGTTTGAAACTGGACCACACTTCCTTTGTTTGGCCCATGGAAGTCTGGACCTTTTGTTTTGAGAGGTGGTGTTATCAGGAGATAAGCCACCGAGAGAGAAGTCGGGGTGGGGGGGGGGGGAGATGCCGTTGGACACCTCACCACAAGGGCCATGCCAAAATGAAGAAAACAGGAAGTTAGCCCGGAAACTTCGGGCTGTGTTTTTTTCCAGGAGAGCAAAGTAGGACGGGAGAAGAGTAGAGACGGAGTAACATCCGCAGCCCCGTTGGAGAATTCCCTCCCTCCTGGCCTTTGCTTAATGGAAGGTTTTTTTTTTTAAATCAAAGACGTTCAGTGACATTGGTTTGGTTTGGACATGCCACAACTTCTGAAAAACACTTCTGCATCAACTCACTGGGAGAATCTAAAAGGGGTAGTAGAAGGGCATTCATTGCGTTTGCCCATTCCACAAAAGCAGCCAAGAGTTTTGTAGTACTGAAAAGAGTAAACATTTCATTGTTACAACACCTCCCTCGGCCCAAAAAACCTCATTAACCTGGTGACCATCTCAATGGCCAATACAGTTCCTGGGTCCTAACCAAAGTTATGATGAGTGCAATGGGGTGTATTCCACTACACTTTGTGCAAAGCTCCAAGATGCTTCCTAGATGTTGACCTGCCCTTCTGTATCAGGAGGTCCGTGTTAGAGGAGCCACCAGGCCAGGTTTTCCAGCCCTGTTTGCAAAGCCAACAGCTGCGAAGTTCTGGAGTCCTCCTTCTCAGGGTCAGCTGCTGAAGGCAACCAAGTTGGATGCCCGATGGATGCCAAAAATCCCTGTGGCGCTCACCAGCACTGAGATTCTCATTCCCGAAATGAAATCCTTCAGAAAGTTGGCAGCAGGTCGCAGAATTTCCATGTGGGTTGATGCCTGGACAGTGCCTTGCCTGTCCCCAAGCCAATACTGAAGACACGGCTCATATATTATTTCCACGGTCAACACTGAGGAAACTCCGCTCGGCATACTCAACGGGCACCTGCAATTTGGAAACTTGGCACCCGTCCTTGGGTAGGAGCTTGTGCTCTGTAAACGGTGGTGGCCTTCTAGTTTTCACCCCTCTTCAGATCCTTCAAGAGCCCTCTCTTCTGCTTTACTTTCTGTAGCTAAACCCACCACTTCCCCGCCTCTTCTCTCCTCCTGATATCTGAGCCTCCCACGGGTGTTTGTCAAAGAGACAGCTCAGAATAAATAAGGCTGCCAGCAGAGCCACCGGAAAGACGCAGGTTTTCAATTTGCTCGGCCTGCGTTTTGAAAGGTGCGCGCACCAATTCACCTCCTGGGTGTGCTGAAGCCCGCCGACCAGCTTACCGTAACCTGATCTTGCTTTCGTGGCGT